GCCCCTGGCTGCGCCTAGAAATTCTGTCCATAAAAATAATGAACAGAACCGGTGACAAAGGGCAGCCCTGCCGGAGTCCAACATGCACTGGATACAAGCCTGACTTACTGCCGGCGATGCGAACCAAGCTCCTGCTCCGGTCGTACAGGGACCGGATGGCCCTTAGCAAAGGGCCCCGGACCCCGTACTCCCGGAGCACCCCCCACAGGACGCAGCGAGGGACACGGTCGAATGCCTTCTCCAGATCCACGAAACGCATGTGGACTGGTTGGGAAAACTCCCATGAACCCTCCGCCACCCTGAAGAGGGTTTAGAGCTGGTCCAGTGTTCCACGGCCAGGACGAAAACCGCATTGTTCCTCCTGAATCCGAGGTTCGACTATCGGTCGAATTCTCCTCTCCAGTACCTTGGCATAGACTTTCCCAGGGAGGCTGAGGAGTGTGATTCCCCTATAGTTGGAACACACCCTCCTGTCCCCCTTCTTAAAAAGAGGGACCACCACCCTGGTCTGCCGGTTCAGAGGCACTGTCCCTGACTGCCATGCGATGTTGCAGAGGCGTGTCAACCAAGACAGCCCAACAACATCCAGAGACTTAAGGTACTCAGGGCGGATCTCATCCACCCCTGGTGCCTTGCCACCGAGAAGCTTCTTGACTACCTCAGTGACTTCAGCTTGGGTGATGGACGAGTCCACCTCTGAGCCCTCAGCTTCTGCTTCCTCATCGGAAGACATGGCACCGGTATTGAAGAGGGATTTTTGACATTATTACACATTTATATTTTAGCACTGTCAAATTTTCAGTTGGTTTTTAAACCTACAGCAATGCTAACTGCTAAGGATTCTGTGCTGAGAGGCACAGTAGTGCTTTGAGCTAAATAGTAACATCAGCATCCCGGTGTAGTGACGATAACATGCTGCTGTTGAGCACTAAATACAAGCTGAGGCTGAAAGGAAGGCCATTAGTTGACCAGATGACGGGCTAGGTGTAGACCTCCAAAGGCAAGTGTTCCTCATATTTTAGTTGGGAGCACAGTGGCCAAACAGCACTTAAACGGATGCTTTTCTCTCAGCTCCTGAAACATGGCTTTCTGCTGCTTAGTTTTTAAAATAAATACAACACAATATAAGAGCACAGTGCAAAACGCCACAGGGTTCATGAATCAAGGTGATTTTGATTTATTTCATGTTCAGAGTCAAACCCTGTGAAAAGACTACAGCAGATTGCACATCCTTTTTGCTGAAACCACTGTTCCGTGACCATACTTGGGGTGCTGTGAGAAAACAGCAGGCCCATCCAATGTTTCTGAGCAAGACTGATGTTTTGCCTTGACAGGCAGCTTAGGATCTCTCAACACCTCAGAACCAAGTTTGACTACTATTCATTTCATTTTTGACCGGAGCCTTTAATAGATTAAAACATTTGAAAACCTGTTTTGACTGGGCCTGATGGACTTTGAGAAGTTATTCTTTCATTTGTGCCTCATAAGCTGAAACGTTAAACATTGTTGTTGGCGTATAGTGCACAAATTGATCAGATTTACTGGTACTGCTGGGTTGCATGGGGATCTCTCCTTACAGTCTATAATCTAAATAAAAAATCAAAATGAAAAATTGTGAATCGTGGTAATATCAGAAGGCAATGCCAGGTATTTGTCTGGACAACTGACCTCCATGTGGGGAGCTTTTCTGAGCAGCTGTCAAGAATATATACCACTGAAATCCGGAGGATGTCGTATCATCATACGAACTGTTCTTCTCAGTGGTGTCAGGTGTCATTTCAAAGTGAGCAGTAATGAAGCGACTGCCAAGTGCAGTAAACCCTGTTTCTTTGAAAACCTTTAAAAACAAACCTACAGAGAAACCCGGGTTGAAGTGAGTCAAACTCCACCTGTGGTTACATACTCTAAACTTTGCCTGGACCCTTCGATGCCAGCGCCTGACATTATCCTGGAAACTGTCCAAAAGGAGCCGAGTTGGAGGCTGAAGTGGAGCCAAACAGTGGGATCAAATGCATCGCACAAAGAGTTGTGCAACATAATCCTCTGTTTTACACCCCAGCAACACATCTGGAGTGTTGTAAATCAGCCAAACACTTTTTACTTTAGCCTTTACTGCTAATTTTATTTCCCTTCCTTATAGAGGAACAAAGGTAGCAACGTTTAGAAAACCAAACAATCCAGAAAGGAATGTCGATTTAGGTGATGGGTCAAAGGCCTCTTTCTGAACTTTGTTGTACATGCTGGAGTGGGATGTCAGGTTATTTGGATTAGAATATGGTTATTTTGTGTTTTAGTCTTGCTTTTTTATTTTAGCTGTTGGCAAAAGCCCTTGGAGCAACTTTTGACACCCTGGCAATTAACGTGGAGCTGTGCAGTTTGTTTGAAAACTTTTACCACCGCCGTTACAATACTAATTATCTTCAGTCTCTAACATGACAAAGTGTGCTGTTTTCCAGCAAAGGGGTCAGAATAGGTTTGAAAATGATTTGCATAATAACTCTTCACAGTTTTGTTGTTGCTTGAAATTGGATTTGGATATTTCCTGTGATACAAATCCAGGCAGGGAAGATTGTTCCATTGATTTCCAATGTTCATTTTAATCCTAACAACTCCTTTAATTTTGAGTGGAAAATGTAATTTTAGACATTCAGTTCCACTGCAAGATGACAAGTCCTCCAAGGTGGCTTGTCCACATGTATTATTGTGAAACCATCAGAGCTCAGCGTTTAATTTCCAGCTGGTTTAAAAGTCATGCAGCAGCCTCACCCTTTGGATAAATATATCTTTTTTTTTTTTTTTTTATAAGGCAACCTGGTATTGTAATTCTTTCTGTGGTACTTCACATGTAAATATGTTTCCAGATGCCATCCTCAGGAAAAGACTGCATGTATTGCTGGGAGGAGGCGGTCACTTTAGGAGTGATGCTCCCAGTTTCCAAAGTAACAATTACCTGCATACAAGACGACCCAGTCAAGTGTCCAACATGTAAAACCTGACAAGGCGTGTAATTGGTTTATCCATCCTGCTGAGCTGCAGCAGATTGATAATGTTGACAGGAAAATAGAACGACAGGAATGCACCCTCTAGATAAACAAATTAAAAACCAGAGCAACCGTGCAGAAAGCAAAACCTGGAAAAAAAACAAGAAACATGGATGACGGCGTGAAGCATGCTTTTCTCTTTTTTCCACCTCAGCTTATGTCCACATTGTTTGTGCAACAAATACTGAGTATTTCTTGTTTGTAGTCCCAAGACAGTTTTTAGTGACTCTTCATCATCCTCCTGTTGAGCAGCTTGACTTGAGAATATCTGCTGAATATGAAACATGCAAACAGAAAAATGATCAAATTACTGACTGAAAAGTATTTTATTCTTTTATTGCAGGACCTCCGGGAAAGCGGGGAAGAAGAGGCCGAGATGGAGAAACTGGTATATACATTTCTCTCTGTATGTGTGTGTGTGTGTGTGTGTGTATGTGTGGTCAGGGTCACTTGATCTCAGTTGTTCACTAGGAAATCGGCAAATCATGTACAATCATGTAAAAGTACACTGTATATCTTTGTAGGCCAAAATAGGTTATAGATGTGTAATTTGTGGCCTGGTGGTTTCAGTTGGATTGTTTCAGCTAAGTCACTATAGAAACACTAGATTCTCCCAGTAAAACTGGGAGACAGTTTGGTGCATTTTGAGAAAGTCAGTGATGCCCGAACTTTCTGAAGTTGGTGTATGAACTTTGAGACGACCTTCCATGCACCGGTCCTAGATGTGATGTACTGATGTTCAGCTTCAGTGTATATACAGTAGCACATTCTTGTTGGCCTCTGCTAACTCGGCAACAAGGCATCTCCCTCCCTCCTCACACACACTTTCTCCTGAGCCGACTGAAACGTGGCCCAGCTGAGGCCTCAGGGATCCAAGAAAGGGACGTGTTGTGTGGTGACAGTCCCTCGGGTGAAGAGTGTCGATACAAAGTGAGTTCACAGCGCGAGCATGTGCTTGGCGGGGAGCTGCAGCCATACTCCACTCACCTGACAGTGGAAGTAAAAATGGGCAGTGGAGGCAGCTTTCCAGTGCTGAGGGCACAGCGCAGCCAGTGGCTTTATCAAAACAAAGTAGAGGACAGGGCAAAGCGAAGTCCCAGGTCTAAATGAGGCTGAGCAGTTTGGTTTCACAGCCTGAGAAACAAAGTCTGTGAGGGGGGAGAAAACTGTTTCACCACCAAATCCAGCCAATTCTTAACGTGACAGGATTTAAAATTCATCATTTGAGGTCTGTTACTTGAGCATCTACGATTGTGTTGCCGTTCATTTTTTAATATGTCATATTAATTTAGGTTCTTGTTTGAGGTCATGTTCTGTATTTGAGATACGGTGTGGCGCTCTCCTTTCCTCTTGAGATCCAGTGTCTGACAGGGAAGAAGAAAAAAAGAGAATCAAATGAGAGAAGGTCAACAGTTTAATGTTCTGGTTGATTTCAGATCTGAAATACTGCTAAGCTTTGTCTATGTGGCGCTTAACTTTCCAATAAACATCGGCCACACCACATTTCAAAAGAAACCATTGTGCAAAGACAGTTGTTTGAGCCAGAGGGAACGTGAACGGCTCCTCTTGTCAAATCAACCGGCAACAAGCAAACAATCGCACCCACTCGGTGTCTGGACTGGAGTGGCACAGCGGTCTGTTAAGGGCAGACAGGCCTCACCATTCTGTCTAATAGCCCAAACTGCGGTACTAAACTAGGCAGAAGTATGTAAAGTTTGAGCGCCTCACCTGCCAGAGAGACTCTTTTAGTAATGCCAGCAGCAGCTTTTTGTCATCAGCACATACACCAGTTGTGTGCAGCTTCTACAAAAGCATTAATGGAATTTAAATGGCTCTACAAAGGCAATGCTCCAGAGGTGCCAGGAATGTAGTTTTCTATTTTGGCAACTTTACATGCTCCAAAAGTGATTCTGCATATTAGCATTTAATTATACCTTGTTTATTTCTGCTACATTTAATGTTTGGATATGTTGGTAAGGATAAAGTAGTAACAGTTTTCTACTGTGAAACTCACAGAAGTGGTCAAAACAAATAGATATGATGCCACTGTGCTGCATACCAACCTAATGTCAAACTGTGTACCCACTCCACAGGAGAAAAAAAGGAATAAAACATTTAGGAAGTATTTATTCATCAGAAAAAATCCGTCCTTGACGGGAACAGGCCTGCTGCATTCTGCACTGTAAGCCTTCTACAAATCCAATTTCCCTCTTAAGTTCTCAACACTGGTGCATGTTGAAGGGAGTCATATTTAATTCATGATTCGCTTTAACCAAAAGTCATAAAACTAAGCCGCTGCAGGTTTCCCACAAATTCAGAGAGAGGTGTTTTACAGTTTACTCATCTATAAAGCCAAAGGGAAGCTTCCCTCCAGACTCCAGATGACTCAGAGAACAAATAGGAAAAAGACACAGCGATATTTACCTGTGCATTCACATGAATAGGATACTTCATTAGGATTCTTGTTTGTTTACCGGTACCATATGGAAAGGAAAAGCGTGGCATGACAGTTTAGGATGAAAAAGCTGTTGTAGCAGTGAAAGCTGCAGTCTGACTGTTCAAGCGTGTGCTGGAAAGTGTTAGAAGTTTCCTCACAAATTTTCCCAATGTGAATAATCAGTACTTGTTACTCATGTAACTGCCTTCACAAAAGGAGCAATTTAACCTTTACAGCGGTGCACCACTTAGAAAAAAGGTTTTCACAGTAAATCTTCCTGGGAAATTGACTTTGAAGCCTTATTCCAGCTTCCTTGTAACCTTTGTGTCATAACCATGCTGCCCATTATGCCCCATACAATACCTGTACTGGTTAGTTCGGTAACCTTTACACAAAAGTAGGAGGAAATGACAAGAAGTGCCAGTGTGAGAACAAAGCGAAGCTGGGCTGAGTATTAAAGGCTTTAGCCTTCAGGAATATTTAATACTTGAACAACCTCTAACATGTTTTAGGTGCTTTCTACCAGCTTTGCAGTATATTGTACTTTTTGATCACATTTCTTTGATCTTCCACATTTGCTGTTTGAAAATATTGTAGTGAGCTATTCAGCACAGTGGGATGTAAAAATAAAAAGCACACAGAACAGTGGGGCCAGTTATTAAAAGCTAAGAGGTCTACTATAAATCAATGATCCATAAAACAACGCTACAGGCAGGCTGCCCAGTGAGCGTCTAACGCACGGCTGTAGGATCGATTTGCACGTTCCCCTTTTCATTAGGAACAACAGTTAAAAAAAAAACAACTTTCTTCATGGTTAACACAGTTGGGTACGTTTTTAATAAGAATCTAAAGACCTTAAATCACTTGCAAGGTTCTGGGGAACCCTAAAGTAAACTGGCACACAGTCCTCTGAACAGCAGTAACTGGGGAAAAAATGTGGCACCTCAACAAAAAAGTAGGGGGGAAACACATGCACAACCTTTTGTAGTAGGGACACCAGAGCTACTTAAACATGATTACCCTCCCTTTTGGCCCAGCTGCATGTAGAAACACATATGGGATTTGAGTATTTTATACATCATGGGATGCATCTTTATGAAATGTTCCTTCCCAAAGACATTTTCACCAAGATCCTAGTTGTCCCTCTTGCTTCCTAGGGTTTGTGGTTTCAGTGGAACATTGGTGATGAGCCTATTTCATTGCTGATTAAAACTAACCATGTTTTTTCCCCCCTCTCTCTTTCAGGACCTCCTGTAAGTATGCTGCTTCACATCTTCCCCAAATGTGATGTGTGAAGGTAAAACCCAGCACCAGTAAAGCATGACTGCAGTCAAGTCAGGAACTGTTTGAATGAAATGTGTAAGACCATGTGGTCACATTAAAGGAGGCGTGTGACATTTTGTGAATTATACTTATTCACTTTGTTGCTGAGAGTCAGCCAAGAAGACCCAAGATGAATCCAGTTCCACTAACTGCATCCACATTTCCCTCACTTGCCTTTTCCTCGTATCTTAGTCCCACCCACATAAGATGCAGGGACAAACTGTGAGCAGAGAGGAACAAGGAAATGCATTTTAACTGACATGAGGCGTTCTTTCCTCTGATCCTTCATGTAAATTGTCCCATCACAAACTGATTTCCAATAAAGGCTCCTGTCAGTCCTTAACAGACTTCCATGAAGGATGTGCTCATGTATCCTTGGTTATAGCTCATCCAGCAGCCTCCTCACTCCTCGGAGAAGAAATAAGAGCTTTGGACATCTTTCATTGTGGCAGACTGGAATATCTTCTGGGTCGAGCAAGGACTGAGGAACAAGAGAATAGGGGAATTGGGATTCACCTTCAGTGGATTTTCATGTCAATTAGCTAAATATAAAGCTACAGCCAGCTAACATAGCTTAGCATTAAGACAGGAAAAGGGGAAACTCCCGTGGCCTAGAGTTGAGTGAAACCACCCACTAACACATGTAACGCTCACTAACGTACACAGAACATTGAGTCTTGTTATTACTAGAGATTCCTATGCAAAGTTACTGCTCCCAGCCAAGAAATAGTTCTGCATGTAAACACCTGAAAAACTATAAATGACCATTTTTACCCTTGTTTTTGTACAGATTAGACAATGTGTCAAAAAGAGTGATAGAGGTAGTTGGATTGTGAGCTGCTTCACCTTGCTTCCAGATTTTACACAAGGCCACATTGATCAGCGGTCACCCGGAGCTTCAACCGTAGTTAGCATGGTGTCAGTCTTCTAGTGAATGTGCTTTTCCCAAAATGTTGGACTATCAATGTACGGTTCAGGTTTGGTAAAGCAAACAGAAGTATAAAATGATGCTTTTCTACTTGATGGAAAAGGCATCTGATTATGATGAATTTGCTATCAGAAATCTCAGCTGCTCCACCGACGCTGACTCTGTTACTAAAATAACTTTCTCACTCCTGCCTTCTTGCTAATACGGACGCTTTTCCCTGTCCTCCGGGCAGTCTGGTTCATTTTATCCTTGCCACTGCCCCACGTCCCTGCCGACTCCCTGAACCCGAACAGATTATCTCACCTCATTATGCTGCTGGGTGATCACAGATTCACTTCTCTTAACAGATGGAAAGTTTTCCCCAAAGATGAAGATAAAGCCATACATACATACATGAGCACTGGAGCTTCTGGCAGTTTGCTGTATAAACAGGTCAAGTGGGTACTGTGTGTGTGTGTGTGATCCATTAGAATTCTTTATAGTCCCCAGACAACTGTGATTGAATAGGCATAATAGAGTGTGCCGACTGAGCTGTAAAAGACGTAAGCTAATCCTCTGGGCCCTCTCAGACACTCGCTCCTGGGGTTCTTGAGCATAAGTAAGTGCAGGTGGTCTTGCTTCTTAGCCTCCCTCGCCAGCCCTTACGTCTGACAAATAAAATCAGACTGTGATGTCTTCAAGACATGTTGTCCCTGGAATGTTTGTACAGAAGGAGAGGCTGGATTTGCCCATAAATGTGTGGGATGCCTGTGTTATGGGGTTGTTCCTCGGGGTGAGCTGTAGTAAATCCAGGGTCCACAGAACCTGACAATCCTGTCAGTGCCAGCAAATCTCTCTGAAGTAATTATAGGTAGCAGAAAGTGCTGTAACCGTTTGTTGGTAATCCAGGTTTACTGTAAAGCAATCAGGTGCACGTAAAGCCCGTTCACCAGCGAGCAAACCTGGAGGCTGTGATTTACATCCAACTGAAGTCTGGGTGACTGTCTCCAAAAACAGACAAGTCCTCAGAGAATGCAGTGAAGTGCCAGTGACTCACCAAATCTGAAATAGTCTTGTGCCAGTGTCTTATAAAAGAGATGGTAATAGATGATCTCATGTGGTTTGTCACTTGGGATGGCAGGGGAAACATCACTATGAATATTCAACGGCTCCCTCTAACTTTGGACCGCTGCGCCCTCAGAGCCAAACAAAAGAACCACTGCTGAAGTCATTACAGAGCTGGGTGGCGTAATCTGCTGCTGATGAGTGGACCTGCGGCTGCAAAGACGGACAGAGAACAGGTCTCCTCAATTGAAACTCATCAGGAAAAAGATCCTCACTGGTGCTTCAGGATCTGCATTTAGACATGGAAAAGTGATTTGCTTAATTTTCATTTCTGCTGCTTGAGCTTTTGTGTCAGTTTTGCACAGAATCACTGGGGTCACTTGTCAAGTGATGTTTATTTAAATCGCTTCTCGTGCTCCAGCCAGATGGGAAAAATATCAATGGAGACATGTTACAGATATGAGCTGAGGAGAATAGTAGTTTCCCTCTTCTTGTAAGTGAAACCAGATAAATATTTTTACTCTACATGAAGGTTTGGAAAGTGTAAGAAATGACCACAAAGGCAAAAATGACCATGTCAGTGTTTCTCAGTTAAACAAAAACCTTCACTCATCTTTATGCAGCTCTTCTAGGGCGGTTTGTGTCAGAACATCTTCTGAAGCACCCACCACTGTGTGTGCGCCACACCATTTAGCACCAATCAAGCGTCAAACACCAACTCTGAGGCTGCATCAAGTACCCACTAACACCACCCGCTGACCGTGCTCCTACAGCGCAGGCTGTATGCCATACTAAATTCAAATAATGTAGACGGAGGAAGAAATGCTCATGCTTTTGAAATTTGGTCAGAAGGAAAGGAAAACTACTTGAAAGTGTTGGAAATATCAAACTGACTTCAGTGTGCTGAGCATGCCTCTGCACCACACTGGAGTCTCCATCCAGAGCAGCTGTAACACAGCATTGCAGTGATATAAATAAGGTACAACTAGTTTCCACCTCCCTGGTTGATCAGCTGAGATTCCAGCAACACTGCTCGAGGATGTTCTGTCACAACGTATGAATTATGCAGCTGTGGTGCAGAGTGGTGGCGAAGCAGACGAAGAGCCCTCTCCCCTTCAGCCTTGATCTGCTGTGCACTGCACATATTTAAAACATGTTGTGGCTGGACTTTGATCACTTTTGCCCTGCGGAGGAGGAGAAGGTGCCAGATTATCCAAAGTCAGGCTCTAGTTAGAAATGAACAAGGCTCTGTTGTTAATTTGCACTTGTTGCTACTGTGTGTTGTGAGTTTGCAACAGATCAGTACATAAACTGTCACACCAAGGAGACCCACTGCAAGTCGATCTATCCCATATAACGGCATTTATTTGGGCTCATGTCAGAAGCGGGGCCTGAGGGAGGCCTACTGGATGTGGCAACGATAAGAGTTTGACCTTTTAGATGTCAGTCCTGCCCATCAGCTGTGTCTCTCTGTCAGCAAATGACGAGTCAGTGCTCAGGCCAGCCGCGAGGTTTTATTCAGTGATCTGGAGCAGTCAGTAGAGCACTTTGGCAGGCTGAGGACTATCTGAAAGGTCAGAGGATTAAGCCTGAATGAATGTGATGCTGAGAGCTTTGTGACTGAGAGGAGTTCTCCTTCAACACAAAACATCAAATGATGAGAGATGGAGAGTGGCCAGTATGTGGGTTTAATTGAATTGAGAAAACTGGAGCATTGTCCCTTTTTCAACGTTTCATGTCCGCGACACAAATATGTGCATCAGAAATTCAGAAATTAGCTTTTTTTTTTTTTTTTTTTGCACAGAAAAATTTTGGCTCCACTTCAAATGGCTTCAAATTTTGTTAAAAAAAAAAAATTTTTTTTTTTTTTCTGCACAGAAAAATTTTGGCTCGACTTAAAATGGCTTCAAATTTGGTTAAGCTGTTTTAAATGTCTCCCCTTCTCAGGAATGACGAGACCCTCCCTGACTGTGAATTAAGAATCTCCATGTTGGATTTGTGTCTTAACGCTGTACTTGCACAACACACACGTATAAGCAATCAGCCTATTAGTTTCATTTTCCTCTTTTCACATCATGCCTGTTCCCACCAAAACATCGAACACACAACAGCAGACACACAAACACACACATTAAAGTCATTTTCTCCCGGCTAATTGTGATGCACTCTGGATATAGGAACCAGATGCCATTCCCAAGTCAGTTTTCCAGTGTGGTTTTCCTATCCCTGCCTAACCTCTGCATCCAGATTCCCCCGACAAGCACCAACCACTTGCGGTCGTCCGTTCCTGCCCATTCTGCTCTGATTAATGGAGGGCAGGGATGCAAGTAGTTTCCCACCGTGAAAAAAAGACGTCCCCCCAGGGACCACAGTAATATGACTGAGGGTTACCATGCAGAACCAACAGATGGAGGTGTACATATAGATCTTGGAAATTGAGTAGATTTCACTTCCAGTGATGCCCACAGCATACGTTTAGCTGCAAATGACTAAATGTGCATTTTGCCACCATTTCCACTCTTTATGAAACTGACTGTCTATCCAGATGGGGCCTTTCAACTTTGTTGTGTAAATACTGGGTACGTCCCATGTCTCTTAGAAGCACCGTCGTTTCCCTCAACGTCTTTTTCTTGTGTCTGAGTCTTGCTCACGAGATTTCAGGAAAACTTGAGGAAACTTAATGATATGAGACATCCTCCCACTGAAGTGTCCAATCACCAACTGATTTCTGGTGAAGGGGTGTGTCAGTTCACACACTGAGAGACTGAGGACGTAGGAACGATCTACCCGCTGTAAAAAAAAAAAAAAAAAGTGTCACATTACTTTCCTTTCGTGTAATAAGATTCAAAGTGTAATCTTTAGTGGGAGAGTTCCCAGTTTTGGGAAATGCACTCAGTTGATTGCCAAGGGTTCAAGATCAATACAGCTTTTCATACACGTATGTAAATATGAACAAGT